TGGTATATGGGCTTGAGGTGTGTTTTCTGGCCTGGGCTCTGCACACATTAGCAGTGGTTTTCCTCTCGTACCTCCTGCCTATGACCTCGGTGTCTCCTATGTTCTTCCCACGGGCTGGGATTCGTGGGGGATGCGTGAGGCCCATTTGGGCCAGGACAGGGTAGGATCCTGTCTTTATCTGAAATGTTGACTTTTGCTCATCTTGAATTATTTTACATTAATTTTTTAAAAATATTGCACAAAAAATGATTTTTCTTAAATCCTGAGTTTTCAGGTTCCTTCAAATTTTATGCCTGAGATGAATTTCTTGTTCTCCTCACTCTGGTTCTCCCTCCCCTCTTCAAGCATCTTCTCTTTCCCATTTCTTCCATGGCAGCCCTTGTTCAGAACCTCATCACATCAGCTAGTCAGCTGACAATTCCCGGCTCCCATCCATCCTAAACCCAGACTCAGAATTATCTTTGTTTGTGGAGGTTGAATTGCGAGCCTCTCTCTCTCAAAATCCTTCGGGCTGCCTGAGGGGCTCAGTCAAACATCTGACTTCAGCTCAGGTCATGATTTTTTGGTTCGTGAATTCAAGCCCCAGATTGGGCTCTGCACTGGTGGTGTGAAGCCTGCTTGGGATTCTCTCTCTCTCCTCTCTTTCTCTGCCCTCCCCCACACTTGTGCACACATGCTATCTCTCAAAATAAATAAATAATCTTCAAAAAAAAAAAAGGGGGGTGTGTGGATGCCTGGGTTGATCAGTTGGCTAAGCATCTGACTTCAGCTCAGCTCATGATCTTGCAATCCTTGAGTTTGAGTCTCACTCTGGGCTCTGTGCTGACAGCTCAGACCCTGGCGCCTGCTTCAGATTCTGCATCTCCCTCTCTCTTGGCCTCTTCCCTGCTCATGCTCTGTCTCCCAAAAATGAATAAATGTTTAAAAAATTCTTTCAAACCTTCCCTGCTTCCTGTAGAATCCAAAGCCCATCATGCTCACTGGCCTCATGTTCACTGGGCTCTATGTCCTGGGTCCTGCTAGCCTTTCTGGCTTCATCTTCAGCTCAATCCCTCAGTTCTATGCTTGGCTAGCAGCCCTTCCCCAGAGAAGCCTCTGGGCTGCTCTTCCTCTCCTGGGGCCTCTTCCCTCCCTCTCCCTCACTGCGGAGTCTGGCTGACCCTTCCTGGATCAGTCTCCATGAGCACTCGTGGTGTCCCAAGTGGGTCCTGCACTCTTGCAGTGTTTAGACTATACCTGCTCCCTGATGGCTATTTACCTGTCACCCTGCCCCTGCTGGCCCCCCCGGGGGTGACTGTGGGCACCTTGATCGCAGAGTCTGCCCTTTGTTCCCCACCTATCCCTGGGGACAGCACTACCAACTTCCTCTTCAGCGTGTCCTCAGCCTCTAGCTCCGGTTCATACTTTGACAAATGTTCTGCTTATCTCCTTCACGGCCTTTGCAATGGATCTTTCTCCACAGCAACCGGGATCTTCACCGCTACCTGGTGGATATCCCAGAGACGCCTTAGGCTTGAGTTGAATTTGGAGCCCTGTTCTAGACTGGCACGCTTAGCATCTTCGGCAAAGGGCTACAAAAGTGACCTGGTTTGTCCACAGCCAAAGTTTTTCCCTGGGACACCACAACACCTTTTATGTCCCAGTCTGAGGTCCTCCACAGGGACCTGGGATGGGGCAGGGCCGCTAGAGCCTGTCCCTTGTTATACTCAGATGCCCATTAGTGTGGCCAGCAGTGAGCCCCAATCCCCCTCCAGCCCTGTGCAGACAAGGGGAAAAGAAGGGGCTCATAATCAAAGTCTCACTTGGGATTTGTCTGAAAGTATATTCCAATTTATGTTAAACCTGAAAATCAAGATGGATTCATTTGCTTTTTAACAGGAGGTAATAGCCACTGTCCATCACCCACCTCACAATGATTCAGACCAGCATCTTCCAAACTCCTGGCCCCAGAGGGTGGCCGTTCTCTCCAAAGCTCCAGAGCGGATGTAGTAGAGGTGGGGGCAGTGCTCAGTCACCATTGCTCTGTTTGGGGAATCTCTGTCCAAACACCCACTGACCTATAGATGCAAGATCATTATCTTTCAGAGTCCATTCTCTGTATCTTGATGCCTGAAGGTCAGAGGTCTAGAACTGGATGGCTCCTCTCTGTTACCAGGAAGCGTGCCACTTAATCACCATTTAGCCCTCCTAACACCACCAAATGTGGCTGTACCGGTTTCCAAGGGCTGCAATAACAAATGACTGCAAACTGAGTGAGTAAAACAACAGACGTATATTCTCTCACAGTTCTGGAGGCTAGAATTTCAGAGTCAAGGTTTGGGTGCGCTGGTTCCTTCATGAGGCTGCTAGGAAGAATCTGCTCCATGCCTCCTTGCTCATGTCTGCTGGGTTCTTCGGCTTACAGACAGGTGGCCCATGTCTCTTTCATGTGATGTTCTCCCTGTGATTTCTGAGTCTGAATTCCATGCAAACTTTCCTTTTCTTATAAGAACACCAGTCATTAGATTGGGGTCCACCCTAATCCAGGATGACCTCATCTTTCAAAATTTTTTAACATTTTATTTATTTCTGAGACAGAGAGAGAGAGAGTGAGCAGGGGAGGGTAAGAGAGAGAGGGAGATACAGAATCTGAAACAGGCTCCAGGCTCTGAGCTAGCTGTCAGCACAGAGTCCAATGCGGGGCTCGAACCCACAAACCATGAGATCATGACCTGAGCCGAAGTTGGACATTTAACCAACTGAGCCACTCAGATGCCCGCAGGATGACCTCATCTTAATCACATCGTTTAAGACCTATTTCCAAATAAGGTAACATTCACAGGTACCTGGACTGAGAACTTCAATATAGCTTTTTGCCAGGGTTGGGGGGGTGGGGGACACAATTCACTGCACAACAGTGGGTACTGTTCTAATCCTCATACTAAACTGAGACACAGAGTGACTTATACAAAGATACACAGAAAATAGATGGTATAACTCAATATTTAATCTGTCTAGATCTAACTATTACCACTTAATAACTGCTTATACCAGGCCCTCTGCTGGGTGCTTTATTTTTATTTCTAATCCTCATATCAACTGTATATATTTATTATCCCCCATTTCACAGAGGCGCAGATCACTGAAGTATCTCTGGCAGAGTCACACGAATACAAAGCGGCAGATCTGGGAATGGATGCAATAATTCTCACCCAAGCCAACCCACTAGAACATCTTTGCGATGACTCACCTCTCCTCGATCCATGTTCCCTGGTATAACTGCCTTGCCTGCAGCTGAGAGCCATGACTGTAAAGGACATGTTACTGGAATTTTTCAAGCGAACAGTGTAAAGGCCAAAGAAATCACCAGGATCACAGCACTGCCACTCAATGCCTCACAGCAGGTGACAGTCTGATGAGAAAGACCAAGTCTTCATCTGCCTTCCAGCAGCCAGGGAGGAGTTACATGGAAAAATCAGCACAATGAGTAAATCCCATTGAAGAGCAATATATGTCACAACGAATCACTTCCCTGCAGGGTGCTACACATGCGCTGAGGCTACTTCTTTGTTCTAACAGGGACCTTGCTGGGAAACACTGTACACTACCATGTGGGGAGGAAACACATCTCGGCCAAGCCCACAGAATGGTTATTTAAATTGCCTCACTCTGCCTTGGAATAAAAAATCAAAAGCATCACTTTCTGGCAGCTTCTATGCCTTCTTCTTCAACATCAAAGATGTGTTTACCACATATACACATTCTAGTGCCTTACAAACACAGCAGCCTGAACACAGAGTCCTTCAAGCAATGCATAAGCCACAGAAACTTCCTCAAATCAATGCAAGAGACTATGTGAGAAGGCACTCAGCCCCATGCCACGTACTAAGGCTTGGCCAGCACGTACCACTTAGAATTGGTTTTGCATACCAATTCAAAGATATGACATAGGTAGGGGCTAGGGTCATAGGCTTTGGAGGCAGGCAGACTTGAGAGCCAACCCCAGCTCTCCTATACACTATTTATGGGTTGTTTCTCTTCACTCAGCCTGTTTCCTTACTTGTGGAATGAAGATATTGACACGACTCTCATAGACAGGTGATATTAACATACCACTCCGATCCTTGATTCCGGAGAGGGAATAGAAGCTATGGGCAAGAATAAAACACTGCTTTAAATTTGACCTTGTTTATCTTATCGCATGGACCTAAGTTTCTATTTAAAAGAAACTTGCCTTAAATAATGAGTGGGAGCACAGCTCTGGATGCATCTGGGATGGGAAAACAAGTGATCATATGGGAAGATACCAGATTGATGAGAGACACTCATTTCTTTCATGTGCTCAATATTATCCCACTGACTGACTCACACACACACACACACACACACACGCACACACACACAAACTGGATGGGGTTAGGGGAGGACCAGTACCTATCTACTGCCTACCTGTACTTTCAGAAGTTCATCTGAATAGGGCATGTGAACCCTGGGGTATATGACACCCATGCTCCAGACTAAAGATGTTCCAGGAAGGGACCCAGGCCAAGGGCCCTTCTCAAGTAGGAGAAAGAATGTAGGAGGCAGAAGAAAAAAACAGACTCACACGTCTCAAGAAAGCATAGTGATTCCCCCTAACCTTTTAAGTTGATGTCTATGATTTTAATGTTATTACTAGAATCACATTGCTCATTAACAGTATTGTCCCACAATTTAAGTCTGCAAACACTTTATGTTCAGTGTTATATCTATGAGACAGAATCCTAAAGGGCAGGAAGGAAGTTCTATGCATCCATGCATCCCTTGACTTAGTGTGTGGAAGAGAGATGACAAAGGTGTGGGCTTCTGAGAGCGCCACGTAGAGGTGACTGTGTTAAATGGTGCCTCCAGGCACGGCTGAAACAGATATAATCGCAGAAGTAACATACACTCTCTATAGGAACCCTGGAAAAAGTAATGTCTGTAATACTGATACAGTTACAAAATGGCAGTTAAGGCAGAAAAAAACTTGAGAGCAAATAGATCGTTGGTTGTACTTTTGTTCATTCAAAGTACCAATCCATTTCACAAAACAAGCTTTACAAGAAGAGGAATGGAGTAATTTGTCTTGTCAGTTATAATTCATAAAAAAAATAGGTTCCGATATCAACTATATACAACCAGTCAATTACAATTTAAGAAGTATCCAAAAAACTCTTTAAAAAAAAAACAGTAGCAGCAAAAACACTGAACGTGTGTAAACAAAACCACCAGTAACAAATCTATGCTTAATAACAAACAACTGCATTCTTTTGAAAACATTAAATATAGGTAATAAAAAGAATATTGGCCATTCTTTTCTTAATATACAATACTCAAAATCTAAAACGACATTATCAATAACAGATGCAAATGGGTGTTATCAGGCGTGTTGAAGAGTCTTTTCCACAGTACTCGGGGAATCATGATGCCACAGAGGGTAAACTTTCCAAAAGTCTTCTCCTAGCTGTGATCCTCGCACAGCGGGGGCACCCGGATGACAGAAAACACTGCTTGTGAAAGCAGGCTCTGCACCCTACGAGCAGAGGGGACAGCTATCAGCAAATGAGCTGTTTTGCTTGCTCACATATGTACAGATGCTCATCCCCACCCTGGGGAGAGAGGTGGTCTGAATCCAGAGTCATCCGACAAGAAATGAGGCAGGTTGAAACTGAGGGATTATGAAGTCCCCACTAAGTCACCAACATGAGGCTGAGAGAGCCTCACACAGTGGATGCTATAGTGTCCCCACATCTGGTGAAGGACCATTCCCCCAGCCACTGACAGCCCAGGAGGCAGCCCTCACTGGAAGTAGCCCTAACTGAAGAGAGCTGCCTCCCTCAAGTTCATCTCCACTTGCTGGCACTGGCCTGCATCCAGTGACTGGTCAGCCCTGGGTTTAAAGGCGTGGCTGGTCCCTGATGGGCTATGTGACAACAGTGAAGGCCATCGTGCTTGGGAGCACCCTGAGACGTGCTGAGCCTTCATGGCTACCATACCCCAGCTCAACTTCTCCCTCTGCCAGGCCCTGTGACTTCACACCCCCACAGGGAGTGAGCCTGAGAACACACCCCAGTGAGCTTTCTGTTGGAGTTTCTGTGCCTTGGAGTTTCTCTGCTGGGGAGCCTCTCCTGCGATACAGCCTAACGATATCGCGGAACGGGTTCAGGGAGACAGCGCTGGAGTGGTCAAAGAGGAGGAACGGCTCTTACCAAGAGTAAAGGCAGAATGCATTACCAGATGGCTCCCATGAAACAGTTTATAGAGATCATGGGACTTCCTTGAGCATTAACACATACAGTAAAATAAGATCTAAAAATCTCTCTGTAAAGAGCCAGGCAAATGCAACAGGTCTTCTGGGCTACATGGTCTCCTTAACAACTATACAATCTGCCAGGGGAGGGCAGAAGCCAGAGAGGGCACCTCAGCCTTAGGCCTGATTTTGATCCAACCACATAACGGGGCAGTGGCTGTGTCTTGCCCTGATGTAAAAGAAGTGGGGCACGGGCCAAAGAGGAACCACTCTTCTCTCCAAACATTGTCCAGGAAGACCTCTCCCTTCATCCCTGACCACCCATATACTCCTCTCCGTACACCCAAAATTCCATTAGCTACCTTCCAACACATAAGCACATACCAGCATCATATAGTTTAAACAACACAGTGCTAAAATTAAGTTGCCATTAAGTTAATTTTGTGTTTCAGTTATTAAGCCATTATGAAGCTTACATTATGAAGCTATTAAGATACCTGAACATCTTCGACATGTTTCGGTCTGAAATGGGAAGATGACAGCTGCACTCTGGCAAAATTCACAAATGAAGCCCTTCCCTTGGCACAGCTGTAAGAGAAGGGGCCAAAAAGTTAAAATCCTCATTGGCAATCTTTCTTTTGATAGAGAAGCCAAGTTACTGCTTTTACAGAACTTTTACATCAGTTTTTAAGTGTCTGTCATTCCAGCCTCTAGAAGGAGCATGAGGCTATCTGATGCTACAGTAAACAGATTCTAACGGAACACGTGTCTTTTTGTTTTGCATGGAGAAATTTCACATCAAGATAGTTTGAGGCACCAGGGAAAGGTCATGATTTTACATGTGTGCTTTTAAATGATCTGCTTTTGTTTCTGAGGGCTGCACTACAATTCTTGAGTTCATGTGGACACAGCTCTTGTTCGACTGGAGTCCGGTCCACATAGCTGTACTTGGCAGCTCAGGGCAGACCTGAGTCAAGAAAGGCCCCAAGCAGGGCCTGGCACCCTAGGAAGGAGAGGGGTCAACATGGTGGAGAAGTAGGGGGATGTGTGATTCCCGCGTCTCTCAAACAAAAAAGGACTGAAGCCAAAGGGCTGTGAACCCCAAGAATCTGGAAGGGAAAGAGACTGAGTCTACCAGAGAGGAACTGGGACAACCTAACAGCCCATAGGTGGGTGACTGTGAGCTGGGGGAGCCACGTGGGCATGGAGGGGAGGGATCCCCTTCTGTGGAGAGACAAAGGGAAGAGAAAGAGCAGCTGGGGAAGCCTATGACTGTATCTGGACAAGAGAAAAGCCTCCCACGGGATGGAGAAAGAACCCATATCTACCTGCCGGGCTTTCTTCGGACTGGGCTGGCTGCCCTGTTCACGCACCTGGGAGGGGAGAGGAGCCACCTTTGGGTCCAGTGGTAGGTCAGGGACAGTCCGCAGCAGGAGAAACTGGCCCCCTCCCCTGAAGTACTGCGGGATAGGGCAAAACCAGCACATTTGGGGAGGCATAGGAAGGCGCTTCCCCAGTGCCAGGCGGCAGGTGTCCGAGTTTAAATCCCAGCCAAGCTCGGGGGCTCAGGAGTCAGGGGATGGCGAAAGACTGCCCCGCCTACTCCCGCGGCACGGTACACGGTAAGACGCTGAAACTGAGTCCACCAGTCCTTGGAGAAGACACTGGGGGTGTCACCATTTTTCTCTCCACCACCGGTAAGACGGGGCCTACAGTGGAGGCCGGACCACCTACCCCAAACCATGCCCCTCCAGCCGTGAATCAGCTGGAGCCGGGAGAGGAGCAGAGGGACCACACCGCCCCCTTCTCCAGACCAGCGCTGTGGCATTGCCTGCGTTAATTCTAGGACAATTCCTGTTATTTAGATATATTCTCCCTTTTCTCCTTCTTATCTCTTCCCTCCTCTAGTCTGGTTACTCTGGAAGTCACTTGGCTCAGGCTTGCATCCTAGCCCTGTCACCGCCAGCAGGATGATCTTGGCTGTGACTGAGTTGCTCTGAACCTCGTCTCTCATCTGGGAATAGTACTCCCAGCACTTCCCTCAGGGTTTGTGGGGTTAAACGGAGTGACGTGTAGAACAGCCGTCACAGGTCCTGATGTGTAAGGGACAGCTCGGGGACATACCAGTGCCAGGTGAATCCTTACCTCACAGCCGTCCACATGTGCGAGGGAAGATTTTAGAATGTCCTTGAGCAATGGCACCAGCAGCTTTTTCTTGACCCTGACCAGATCGTCCAGGGAGAACAGGTGGAGCTCATTAGTCAAGTGCCTCGGCACCTGCTCAAACTCCTTTAATGCACTGCCAGAGAGGAAACAAAGAGCAATTCAGGCACCCACCCACACAGAGGCTGGGACACAAAGGGGGGGGGGAGCAGGCCGTTGTTTTTTCTGGCACTCACACTTCATTTTTTTAACTCATTTATAAAAAAAAACCAAGAGCAAGTTAACCTTACTCACCACCTTACCTTTTCCAAATTTGTTTAGAAGCCAGGAACTTAAAATTCTATAAAAGCTGATTTCAAAAAGCTGGACCAGCAGATAAACATGTCTCTTGCAGCCTGCCCATGTATACACTGAGCAAAGGACAACTGCAGATCTATTTTCAAGGCTTAAAAATCTGTACTGAGAATAAAAGGACTACCTTGTTCGTTTCAGCTCAATTTCAACCATCAGCAGGCGGACTGTTGTCCCAGCCAGCAAGAGAATCACGCTCACGGGCAGGTGTGGGACTCCTCTCAGCCATGAGTCCAGCACAGAGCTTAAGACTCAAACATCCAACTGTGAGCTGATCACAGCCCCCTGTGTGTCCCAAGGACATTCAAAACTGAACATAACTTTCTCCAACCCCTACTGATTTCCTGAATTCCCTAAATCAGTTAGTGACATCATCATGCACTGCATTCCCAAGCCAGCTGCTGCTGCCTACCCTGGATTTGACACTGCAGTAATGCAGACTGTGTTGAATTCTACATGCAGACTGGGGTTGCTGGCTTACATTGCTTACTCTTCCTGGGGGATCCCTGACCCTTCTTCTTCAGTTCAACTCACTCTTCAAGCTCAGGCTTAGGAAGCCTTGTGGCCTTCTTCTCCACCCCAACCCACCCCTTAAGACACCTTTTCTGCATCCTTAGGGTACCACGCATATGTGTCTAACATACATGATCTGTTTGTGCTTTTTCTCTTAACTTAGCATGAATCCTATTGATTTTTTATCTGAAGCATAGAAAAGAAATTTTTAAGAAATTTTTGTAGACAGTAATAATTGTGGGTATTGTTAACATATAAAAGTATGTTACAGACAAGAAAACTGAGAGCCCAAGAAGTAATTAACCTGCAAATCCCATGCCATGAGGTAGAGCTTAAGGCCAAATGACTACAGGAGCCATGTTCCTCCCCAAGAAATTTAATTCAAAAGCAATACATTATCATTAAAAAAAGGATCAGAAACTGAAAGAAGCTTTAAAATAGATTTTTAGAAACTGTGATCCCATCTATATAACAAATAATCTTAACCCCTTGAGTAACAACCTCTTTTTCCACTTAAAAAATTCTATCTCTGTCAAGGAATTCATGCCTATACCTCTATGGCCACGGCTTCCAGAAATCCCATTTCTAGAAATTAATCCTAAGGGCATATTTATGGTTGTGCAGAGAGATGCAGCTAAAAACCTAGTTTTTTAATCACAAAAGATATTAAAAATCTATCTAAATATCTATTAAGTGTTAAAATCAACTGGGTTTGGGGCGCCTGGGTGGCTTAGTCGGTTAAGCGTCCGACTTTCGCTTAGGTCATGATCTCGCGGTTCGTGGGTTCGAGCCCCGCGTCGGGCTTTGTGCTGACTGCCAGCTCGGAGCCTGGAGCCTGTTTCAGTCTGTGACTCCCTCTCTCTCTCTGACCCTCCCCTGCTCACGCTGTCTCTCTCTCTCTCTCTCTCCTAGAAATAAATAAAACATTAAAAAAATAATAATAAAAATAAAATCAACTGGGTTTAATATCTGTAAAGATATTAAAATCTATTTTAATATTAACATTAAAATCCATTATAGCAATAAGAATAATAATATCAATATTATCAATAAGCAAATAATACTTAAATCAACACTACATCACTGTACAGAATACTATTCAGCCAATGACAGTTTGACATGCTTCTCTACTGGGGTTTTTTAAAAGGCCATTGATAACACCCATGCTCATAGCAGCACTATTCATATTTGCTAGAAGGTGAAAGCAACATTTTTGGTGATGAATGCATAAACGAAATGTGGCAGATGCATACAATGGAATATTTTTCAGCCCTAAAAAAGGAAGGAAATTCTGACACATGCTACAACATAGGTGTTAGTTACCTCAAGGGCGTTCTGCTGAATGCAATAAGCCAGTCACAAAAGGAAAGATACTAATATGAGGTACCTAGAGGCGTCAACTTCATACAGACATTAAGTAGAGTGGTGGCCAGGTGCTAGAGGGGCAGCGTGGGGGGGACGGGGGAGGGAAGAGAGAGTTACTGCTCAATGGATATAGAATTTCAGTTTTGCAAGATAAAAAAGTTCTGTGGATGGATGGCAGTGACAGTTGCAGAATGTGCACGTACTTAGTGCCACTGAATTGTACACTTAAAACAGTTGAGATGGTATATTTGGTTACATGTATTTTATCACAGTTTAAAATAACTAATAATAATAATGTCACTGGCTAGAGTTATTTCACCCTTGTACTGGCCAATTCTTCTAACACATTACATTCACTACAAGTGAGCCAGGTTTAGTAACTTTAGCAACAGGGTCTGCAACACCAAGGAGAGGCCCGAGGTAGGTGCTGTGCTAAGGGGCCCTGCGGACTGGGGGAGCTGGGGCCAGGTGGCACCCAGGGGACTGGCTGGTCTGTGGAGGCGCCCAGCCCTCCCGGACCCAGGCCTGGTCTGTCCCAGCCAACACTAGTACCTTTCAGCAAACCTGCAGGTCTTCAACAGCTTCTTGATATGAAAAAGTTGCTCCCGGGTTTCCTAATGTAAGACACCAAAGGGGGAAAAGTTAATGTGAGAAATGACACAGAAAACATGGAAGTTAAATTGAAATGTTATTTCTAACCTTGAAATGCTACAACTCTGTAAACCAAGCCTTTGATATAAACAGTCTATATAGCAGGGGTTCATGACTGAGTGCTGAGATCCACAGACGGTCCAGGATGGACCCAAGTTTTGTGGAGCCTGAAGCTCACACAACCGTTGGGGGCCCTCTTTGAGAACACAAAACTATGTATAAAAGCTGAAGATCCTGCTATTTGTGACCACACGGGTGAGCCTGGAGGGCAGTATGCTAATTGAAATAAGATGGACACAGAAAGAAAAAAGCTGCATGGTCTTACTTATATGTGGAATCTTAAAAAGTCAAATACACAGAAACAGATAGTTGTTGGACACAAGCTACCAGCGGTGGGGAGGTGGGGCAAGTGGGAAGACGTTGGTCAAAGGGAACAAAGTGGGGGTCCTGTTGGATGAGTAAGTCTAGAGGTCTAATATATGGTATGATGATTACAGTTACTCGTAACTGTACTGAATACTGGAAACTTGCTAAGAGAGTACATTTCAGGTGCCCCCACCACAGACAGACAGACAGACAGACACACACACACACACACACACACACACACACACACACACAACGTGGCTCTGATGAGATGGATAGGTTAATTAGCTTGACCAGTAATTATTTCTCTTGTTATTTATATATCAAACTATCATGCTGTATACCTTAAATATAAATAATTCTATTTTTAAAATAATAAATACATTTCAAAAGCTACTTATAAATGCAAATCTATGCATAAATATAAAATTTGGTACAGGGTATCAGGAAGGGCCCTGAAGCTGAACCTCCATCTGTTGGTGGTAAATCTGCCCCTTGGAGGGTCTGTGTGGGTCCCCTGAGACAGCGCCATGTGGCATCTGCTGCCCCAGGGACCCCTGGTCTTGCCTCCCCAGCAAAGGCGGCCGCTCACCCTCACTCTGTCCAGCTCCTTGGCCTTGGCATACAGGCTGCGGCCAACGCTCAGCAAATTGAAAACGGGCTGGTGCCATATGCCTTCCAGCAGCCTTTTGGAGAAATTGCTGACGTAGTACTTCCTGAAGTCCCACGTGGCGAGGATCCGGGCAGGGATGCAGGTCTCCGCGTAGGAGTGACAGCAGTCACAGAAGTATTTCCCCAGGTATTCACAGTACCGCAGCCGCTTCACGAACTCTGCAGGGCACACGGGAGGGTGAGGAGGGTGAGCACTCGGGAGGGGAGCGCAGCTTGCCTGGGCTGGCAACATACCCTCCCCCGCCCCTGCTTCCCCTTCCCACCCCAGCTTCAAGACTGCTGTGTTTGTGCTGTGAACACCATACTCCACCTCGTGGCGCCTGGGAAAGCTATGGCGGGGACTGGAGGCCGAGCATCACGGCTGCTCACGAGCTTTTCTTTATGGAAACAGCTGTCAGAAAAACAGAAACCTCCCCAAACACTCCTGAACTTGGAAGTTGGGCATTGTAAACTGCAGTGTAGCCAAAAGAACACGAGGGGTGAAGTCTGGTGGGAGTCCAGACTCAACCTCCCTCTGGCAGGTGGACTGAGGGCCAAAATCTCTTCGAGCAAACCATCCTGAGGCTGCAAGAAGCAACTCAGAAGTAGATGCCAGTATATCTCACATAACAAAAAGTGCTCTGTAAACTGTAAAGCATGATATGTACACAGTTAGCAACACCCAATTGGAAAGCATGATACATACACAGTTAGGAAGTGACACCCAAAAAAAACTTCCTGGATAAATCAGTGAGGAAAAAAATACAAGAATGCACGAAGAACAGAACAGGCGATACACAGACCCATGGAACGCAAACGACCAGGAACGACGTGAGAAACCATCTCGGTGACAAAGACATGCATGTTAGCAGAGCGAACTCCTTGGTTTTGCATCCGACTGTCACAAATTCAGAACATCCAAGAGCAGCTGGGGTGCTGGGGTGGGCACTCACTCACAGGGCGGACAGGAGGGCCACTTTTTAGGACCTTTCCGTGATACATGTTAATTCTTCAGTGTGTAGCAGGGATCCTACTACTGTGATCCCAGACAGCAATACTAACATGTACACGTGGAGACATAGAAAGGTGTTCAGTGCAGCACATTTATAATGGAGGGGTAGCAATCGAAATATACATTAAGAAGCAACTAGTTAAGGAAGTATGGGGCACTCCACAGTGAAATGCCAGAGAGTCAATGAAATACATGTTAGCCCGTGGGCAGTGGGCACCTGGTTGCAGATGTGCATAATGTGGTCTTGGTTTTTTTTTTTTTTAAATACACATACGCAGTCTAAGAGGGTCCCTACCAAAAAGCCAATAGTGAATACTTCTGGGGGGGAGGAGTTTTGCTCTTTACATTTTTTTTAATTTGGTAAAATGAGCACACATTGCTCTCAGAAATATGTGTTTCTAGCAAAACAGAGCGACAAGCAAAAAGTATAGAGACAAATGTAGTACCTACTCGGGTACCTACCACCCGGTGGAAGAAGACAATTCAGTTAGGCTTCCTGTGTGTCCCTCCCTCAACATTTGAGTCTAAGAGGATTACGGTTGATATTTACATTCGTCATTTGACTCATGGGGTTTTTTTGGTCATTAAAATACCATAAGGTATAATAGAAATATTCGATGATACATCTTGTGAAGATTAAGTGAAACCGTGGGTGGCAAGGCAGCCACCGCAGAGCCTGGCACACTGCAGATGTGAAATCTAGTTTCCTTATACGAGCTTCAACAACAAACATGGCCACTTACAGCTTAAGGAAATGTTGTTTGAAAGATGATGTATACACCGTGTGCTTTCAATGAGTTAGGTACATGGCTATTCCTATATGGTTCTGCACATATATTTCCAAGAAAGAAAGAAAGAAAACTGAATAAGGCCCCAGTGACTGCAGGAGCACACGTTTATTGAACACTTACTCCATGTCATATACTGGTTAATGTCTTACATACACTATGTCATTCTCCGCTCAAAACTTAGAGAGGCAGGGCTAGTTCTTTCCCTATTTCACTGATGAGAGCACAGACAGTGAAGGTAAAGCTGCATGCCAGATATGGGATTCCCAGTCATATCTGGCCTGAAGCTCCAGATTTTGGTCACTGTATCCCACTCTTTAAATAAATATTAAAATATATTTAATATATTTTGTTGGGACACCTGGGTAGCTCAGTTGATTAAATGTCTGACTTTTGATTTCATCTAAAGTCATGATCTCAAGGTTTGTGAAATCAAGCCCCTGCATCAGGTTCTGTGCTGACAGTGTGGAGTCTGCTTGGGATTTTCTCTCTCTCTCTCTCTCTTTGCCCCTTTCCTCCTCATGCACATGTTTGCTCTCTCTTAAAATAAATAAACTTGAATATATATATATGTACATATATATATATTTTGTTGATTTATATCATTGAATTCAGAGCCAACAGCAGGGTGACTCATGCCTGAATGAAGCTTATCTAATGCATGCACATTTTCCATAAAGCAAATCACAACCTTCTTGTGATTAGGAACATTACACAGCACTTTAGTACTACAAGTGGGGGGTGTTTTAAACAACTAAATCACCAACAAAAAAAATGCAGAGTGTAAAAAGAAAAGGAGGGGACTAAATAAGCCACAAGAAGTCCTTGTTTACAGTACGAGAGAGAAAATAAGGAAGAGCATCACCGCCTTCACCTTCATCTGGAAACATGTGCATTGGGCAACTCAGATTGTTGGCACTTGGGCATATCTGTGCATATCTGTGCATGACCACGAGTCATGATTTTGTGGTCACAGATTTTATCAAGTAGATGGTTTCACAAATATGGAATCATAAATACTCAGGTTCAACGATAAATACATGTATATAGACCTCTCTCTAGATTTGACAAATTATCGTTAACAACTTCTTAAAGGATTATGTTTATGTCTAACTTCTCAAATTTGAAATCTCAAGAAGTCTTCTGCATTGTGTCTATTTCCCACCCTGTTTCAAGGTTTCTGATTTGGTGGGTAATAAGTATTGCTTTGCTTGTGGCAGAGCCTTGATATATTTTATATAAAATGGGCAGAATGAGGTATACTCTGGCCCTTCCACTCGACATTTCTGATCAAACTTAGCAAAATGGGAAGAAGAGGACAGAAGGAGATAACACATTTTCCTGACGTAATTCATCTTTCCCTGACATCTACTTTCTGAACATTTCAATACCCAGTTGCTCATTCATCAAATTTCACTGAATATATACTAAGTACTAAACGATCAACACAGAATCAATTATGTCTGTCTCTTTTGGTTTCTTCAGTCCTTTCATTAAAACAGAGCAAAACAACGTATCCTAAACCAATGGCTCCTAACTAGGAGTAATTTTTTTTCTCCCTAAGGACAGTTGGAGATATCTAGGGACAGTTTCAGCTGTTGTATTGGAGAGCCACTAGTGGCATCGAGTGGTGCTACTTGATGCCCTGCAATGCACAGAACAGTCCCGGACAACAAAGTCAGTGGTACTGAGGTTGAGAAACTCTGCTCTGACCCAGAATTGCTGTCATCTGAGGAAAAGGAAAGGTCACAGAAAAATAAGGAAGAAAAAATTCCAGAACAGTGTCCCACAGTACTTTCTGTGAGGATGGAAATGTTCTAAGCCTGTGCCAGCCAATATACCAGCTGCTAGCCCCACGAAGCTACTGACCACTTGCAGTGTAGCCAGTGTGCTTGAGGAACTCGGTTCTTAACTTTATTGATTGATTGATTCATTCATTTATTTAAAATTTTTAAAAAATATTTATTTATTTTATTTTGATGTTTATTTTTGAGAGAGAGAGAGACAGAAAGACAGAGAGAGAGAGGATTTGGGAGGGGCAGAGAGAGAGACACACACACACAGAATATGAAGCAGGCTCTAGGCTCTGAGCTGTCATCACAGAGCCTGACACAGGGCTCGAACCCACAAACTGTGAGATCCTGACCTGAGCCGAAATCGGATGCTTAACCAACAGAGCCACAAAGGCACCCCTGGATTTTTAACTTTAATTAATTGGCTGTGGGACAACTGGGTGGTTCAGTCAGTTACGTGTTCAACTTTGGCTCAGGTCATGATCTCACAGTTTGTGGGTTCAAGCCCTGCGTTGGGCTCTGTGCTGACAGCTAGCTCAGAGCCTGGAGCCTGCTTCAGATTCTGTGTCTCCCTCTCTCTCTGACCCTCCCCTGCTCACGCTGCCTCTCTCTCTCTCAGAAATAAATAAAACATTAAAAATTTTTTTTAAATAAAAAAAATTAATCAGTTGAGCAACTGACTCTTGATTTCAGCTCGGTTCTTTATCTTGCAGTTTGTGAGTTCGAGCTCCATATTGGGCTCTCAGTGTGGAGCCAGTTTCGGATTCTCTCTCTCTTTCTGTCTCTCTCTCAAAATAAATAAACTTAAAAAAAACCACTTTAATTAATTTAAATTACATTTTAAATAGCTCCATGAGCTAGTGGCCACCATGTTGGATAGTGCAGTTCTAGAGTAAAGGTAGCTAAAGAGAAATAATAGCTAAATGCAATGTATGAAACATGGTTAGAACTTGGGTGGAAAAATTAGCTATAATGACATCTTGAGAACAACAGATGAGCATGGATTGGTATAAGCAACTATTAGAGAGTTGTTATTAACTTTCTTTGGTGTGCTAACTGTTCATCATCCTTATTTTTAGAACATGCTGAAGTATTAAAGAATAAAATGTCACATTGTCCATTTACTTTTTAAATGAGATTGGAGGAGACTGAGACCTGACAACTAAATGCCACGTGCAATTCTAGGTCTTTGGTGAGCTCGGAATGAAGTCTGTGGTTGAGTTAACAGAATTGTACCAAGGCTAAGTTCTCGGTTTCAATGATCATACTCTGATTTTTATAAGATATTAACATTGGGAAAAGCTGGGTGGAGGGAGTACGGAATCTCCCTGTACCATTTGTGCGACTCTTCTGTAAGTCTAAAAATATCTTCAAATAAAGAGTGAAAATGTATCCTAAGAACTATATAGGAAGCTCATAGGAAAAGTCCAAAATTGTCTACACGGCTGAAAACGCATCAAGTCTTGTGCCCTGGGCACCTCTACAGCATGTGCTCTCCTCTCCTTATTACTCCCCAGTCACACAGGACTTCTCTGCCATCACTGCAGTCCCTTTGCTCATGGTGACCCCTAACCCTTCCCAACAGACACATACACACACATGCTGAGGACCATCACTTCCTTGTGGAACTTCTCACTCCCAGCCCTGCAAGCCCAGATTCGGTTCCTGTGCTGTAAATCCCACAGTGCTCTTGACTTTTTCTTTCGTTGCAAGCATTGCTGATGACTACACCTTCCTGTAAGCAGGCTCCGTGAGAGAAGGACCATGTTTATGTCACCAGGGCAGGCATACATCTCCCCAGATGGACAAACTTAGGGAAATACTTAAAGAGTTGGTGGAATCACAGTGGTGTGTTCATAGTTTCTGACTCATGCTCTCAACCATGCAGACACTGAGGCACCAGGATACAGTGGGTAACCAAACAGACATAGTCCCTGCTAAACTAGCTGGGAGGGTGAGTCACTTAAAACTAGTTATAACTGTGAAGAATGGCGGCCGACATTCAATATGGTAGAATGAATCCCAGAAACATTTCTGTTTTCTATTTTTATTCCTTGAGGGGGAAGTCCCCAAAGTCTTTTTCTTTCCAATACTTTCCATCAAAGGCCGGGAGACGCTTTCCAGCAAAGCTCCTCTTCCCTGCCTTCCATAGGTCAGACCTATGGATACACTTGCAAGCAAAACAAGTGATTCCTAGTCTTGAGTGGACAATTTGCATTTCTGACTGGAGGAAGCTCCATCTTCTATGCCTCGGCTAGCTCAGGAACGATCCCCTCCAGCCACCTCCTCAAACCCTCTCAGAAGAGTTTGGCTAGCTCCTTGATAGGCCATTCAGTCATTCAACAAGTTTCTTTTAAGGAACAATCAGGTACCAGGTACTCTTGTAGGAGCAGGGGATAAAGCAATGAATAGAACAGACAACACGTCTGTCCCCATGGAACTTAGAATCTAGACAGGACACAGACAATGATAAGAAAAATCAGTAAATCCTAAAAGAACACTTCAGGAAGATAAGTACTAGCATAAAAACCAAAAGGAAGGGTAATGCAGAGTGTCCACGTGGATGTTTGTGGCCAGGAGTGTGGCAAGGCAGACATTTCCAACAGGGCAGCCAGAGAAAACCTCATTAACTTTTGAATGTGAGGGAAGTGAGGGAGCCGGCCACAGGGATGTCATTCTAAGGAGAGAAAACCACAATGCAAAGCCCTAAGTCAGCAGTGAGCCTGCCTCCTTCAAGGACCAGCAGGGAGGCCACAGGGCAGGAGCTGCGTGCTGTAGGGGACGAGGCCGAGAGATAACAGGCCCGCCGCGCAGCCTTATAGGTTACAATGGCTTCCTCATGGAAGAGAGGGCAACACCATGAAGTTCTTATAACAACTTCTCATCAAGTGCATCTCTCACAAAAACAATGTGCTCTTGCTCTTCTTTGCCCTCTCACTGAACACTGAGCAGGTAATACACTGTCCATACTTACTAGTTTCTATTGGCGTTCCACAGCCAGCGCATAAAAAATTCTGGGCTGCTACCACGAGCTCCCTCCTAAGTAGAGAAAACGATAACAGTTACAATTCAGAAAAGGACAATGGAGCATTTCTTGTCAATTGGAAAAGAAATGGACATCATGGTACTTTTCTTGGCTTGGAGCCTTAATTTTGTCATTTTTCATTTGGAAAAAAAATAGGATTATTCAATAGAGTTTTCTATTCTAGAGTTGAGATCACTGGGTCTTCTAAAAGCCCCAGCTACCACCAAAGTAGAAGTCAGTATTGTGAGTAAGCCTTCCGCCATGGGCTTTTCAGAGACTTCTCGCTGTGATGCATGGGTTCCTCGCCAGACAGAATTTAAGACACATAATGCACTGGAGAAAGTTCAGGGAGATGAAATACCAAGAAGTAATGTACTTGGGAAGTTGACAAATGGATCCAAAGAAATTCAGAGGAGAAAGAGGTAATAGAAGACAAAGTATCAGATGTTTCTGGTGAGAGTCTACTGAAGTGTTTTCTATTGAACTACTGAGGTCACAACTTCACACGTGATTTGGAAATATGAAGAAAGTTGTACAATTTTATTATACTTTGGGGTCAGCAAAAAAGACCGTGGTAAAAATGTGCGGAACCCTACCCAGGTCCCTTAGAGAGGACATAGAGAAATCCTAGAGAGATGTCACCCCTTGCTAAGGAAAGTGACCCCTCGCAAGGCCTGGAGGAGCTGTTCTGCCCAAGCAGCCTCAAACACCTTCTTGTCATTCTTTTAGAAGAAAACGTAACACAGAGCCTAGAAGGCACTTCTATGGGGCACAGGCAATAACCTTCGCCAGTCCCTTCTTTACAATGCAGTTTGGGTGCCACATTAAATACAAGCCAAGAAGAATGGAAATACTGTAACTGGTTAAAAAAATGTCCCCTTGTTGGGGCGCCTGGGTGGCTGGGTCAGTTAAGCGTCTGACTGTGGCTCAGTTCATTATCTCATGGTTCATGAGTTCGAGCCTGGAGCCTACTTTCGATTCTGTGTCTCCCTCTCTCTCTGCCCTGCCCTGCTTGCACTGTCTCCCAAAACTGAATAAATGTTAAAAAAAATTTTTTTAATGTACCCTTGGCTATAATGTCATATACTCTCAGAAACAAATAAAACTACTACTTTATTGTCATGCATTTCATTTATATATATACATTTATAAACACAAATTTACTTTTTTCTTTTGCATCATCTTGGTTGTTTTGTCTTTTAGGATGATGTTACTTCTTAGAGAACAGGATGTTTCTATTTCTGGTTCTCTGTTGCACTCTGTTGCTTATCTCAACTATAGGAGCTCTCCTCAAGAGTAAATTTTCCCTATTTAAAAAAAAAATGTATCCATTGATTTTTATTTCACATTTCACTGGTAAATGGAGATGTCTTTTAAAATTACTGTATTTGATTTTTGGGGCACCTGGGTGGTTCAGTCAGTTAAGAGTCCAACTCCTGGCTTCTGCTCAGGTCATGATCTCACGATGGATTCAAGCCCTGCATCGAGCTCCATGCTGACAGTGTGGGGCCTGCTTGGGATTCTCTCTCTCCCTCCCTTCCCTGCTCACGCTCTCCCTCAAAATAAAATAAACAAACTTTTTATAAACAAATAAATAAATAGCTGTATATGGCTTTTAAGGTTCAATATTAGCTACTTCATTAAGGACATGGTAAAATTCTCAATTTATCAAACTTACAGAGTCCTCCCCAAAACCCATGATAAAAAGGGTGCTAAGATGCTAAGGGAGCTAAGATGCTAACTCAGAAAAATATGCCCAACTTTCCTGTTCCTAAAACAAATTTTCCTTTGTCCCTTGTGTTATTTTTACCCCTTCCCCTACTTCCACGAGGAGGCGGGAGCCATCACGACTTTTGTTACCTGGATTGGAGGCCCAAGCAGCACCTGGACTTACTTGACTGGTGGGTGAATATTGAATATGATTTGAAATCTAGGGGGCTCCCAGTCTTCAGCTCCTCTGATCCTCGACTTAAAGTTAATCTCCTGAACTACATCCACACTGGATTCCAAGTCTTTTCGGATCTGCTCTTCATTCACAACCTGCGTAACACAGAAGAGGATTTCAGAGCAACTTGAATAAGCATATTCCAGGAACTGAAATAAAGAGAACATTCATGTGTGTTTCCAGACTTAAAATTTGCCATGAAAAATAAAAACTGCTTTCAACTGAACTAAAGGAGCCCTCCCTGTATCTAAAGCCGTCTGCAGACTTACTTGAAACACCATGTAGCTAAGGTCACTTTTCTTTGTATTTTCAGTAGTTCATTTGTTTCCAGACTTCAAATTATTGGAAGTAGGTCACTGTGACCTAGAATGCTTTTATGTGCAGAAGGCTTAACCCCTCTTAGTCAACAGACTGACAGATGCTACCAACCAGAACACCCAGCTGTTGTCAGACTTCCCCAGCTCTTTTAAGACCATTGCTCTGCTTAAAAATGTCCAGTGGCTCCCCTCTGAACCACTCAAGTTTCCTATTAGTATTTAAAATGCACACTTGTTGGGGTGCCTGGGTGGCTCAGTCGGTGAAGCATCAGACTTTGGCTCAGGTCATGATTTCATGGTTCGTGAGATCAAGCCCCACATTGGGCTCTGTACTGACACCCAGAGCCTGGAGGCTGCTTCAGATTCTGTGTCTCCCTCTCTGTCTGTTCCTCCCCGGCTTGCACGCACACATATGAATGCTCTCTCTCAAAATAACTCAGGGGCGCCTGGGTGGCTCAGTCGGTTGAACGTCCAGCTTTGGCTCAGGTCATGATCTCACGTTCATGGGTTCAAGCCCCGCGTCGGGCTCTGTGCTGACCGCTAGTTCAGAGCCCGGAGCCTGTCTTCAGATTCTGTGCTCTCTCTCTCTCTGACCCTCCCCTGCTCACACTGTCTCTCTCTCTCTCTCTCTCTCTCTCAGAAATAAATAAAACATTAAAAATTAAAAAAAAATAACTCAATAAACTTAAATTATTTTAAAAATAATGAATGCACACTTGTTAAATTAGCATTCTATGTCCCCCCAAATTTGATCATACCTTTCAAAACTTTCTCAGGAAGACTGACAGCCCTTCCCAGCGCACAGATACACACAAACACATGGTATGCAACCACACCAAGCCGCCCTGCTCAACTAACCTAGCACGCACACCCGTCACTTTTGCTCCAGCTGCCCTACACCAAGAATGTCTTTCCATACATTTCTACCTGCCACCCTTCTCCAGTTCTGAGATCTCCAACTGGCCTTCCCAAGCCCCCCGATAAAATAAACACTGCCTCTTCTGCACGCCCAGAGTGCTTTTTTTCCCCTACCCCTATTTTAGCTTTGCCACAAAGTTCTCTCCCCAGGGGGCTGCAGGCTGTCAGGGGGCACTGTGTTCCACAGGTTGGGCATGACCCCTGCCCTTCCACTGACCAGCCCTGCTGAGCCGCTGGAACGAACCCTTTAAATAAACAGAACAATGGCACCTACCTAATAGGATACTTAGGAGAATGAAAAATGTGCAATGCTGAATTCCCTGGTGCACAAGAAACACTCCATAAATGTCAGATCCATCCTTTAATTCAAGTGTCCCCCACAACACCCGGCCACCATATAAGGAGACGCATACGTGTCTGAAGTGATTGGCAGCCAAAATGAGAATTGAGGAACTTTCGATTCAAGGCCAACTAATTTTGGTACTTACTATTGAGCCAGCTGCATTTGGAGAACCCGCCAGCTGATGATTAACTTCTGACAACATCCAGCACTTCCGGAATACTTGGTACAACTCTTTGGCTATTCGCTCAGCAGAATTGAAGTCTGGTTCATAAATAATACTGAAAGGTAAAAGATGTAAAAAGTGGAAAACTATACTCATAAAGAGTATGGTAAGGGTTTTCAATGTTTTCAACTCTCCTTCCTGCTCTAAAAACTCAGAAGAGGGGTCACACAAAAGACCATGCATCTACACCCATCGAATGTCTTACTCAACGCAATTCCTCCATGCTTGACACAGCAGCTTTTATTTATTGAGTACCAAGACGAGGAAATGTGGTAAAAAGAGCACTGGATTTGGAGTCCAAAGACCTGAGTTCAAGTCCTACCTCTGCTATTTAACTGCATTAATGTCCTGAGGCACACTGGGTCTGAGCCTCAGTTTCCACATCTATAAAATGGGGTTAAAAACCCTACCCAGCCTGATTCAAGGAGAATGTATACCAGGGGCACTTGGGTGGCTCAGTCAGTTAAGTGTCCAACTTCAGCTCAGGTCATATCTCGCGGTTCATGAGTTCGAGCCCTGTATCGGGCTCTGTGCTGACAGCTCAGAGCCTGGAGCCTGCTTTGGATTCTGTGTCTCCCTCTCTCTCTGCCCCTCCCCCCGCTGGTGCTCTATCTCTGTCTCTCAAAAATACATATTAAGGAAAAAAAAGGAGAATATATACCAGTCTTTTAAATGCTATTACATAAAAACTATAGAAAGCTCTATAGAAACTTGAATGGTGATTGTTTCATTGCTAATTACTAATTCCTGTCATTGGAACTGGCTGAACTTGGTCCAAGCTGTCAGAGGCTTGGCGTTCCTAGTGCCTCAGAGGTAATGGCCCAGGGGCCTAGGTGCAGGGGGACGCGGAAGACACATACCTCTTAGAGGAGCTGCAGGAGCATCCACAGGTTTCTGTGAGATTGTTACATTCACCAAGTTCTGCAAGCAAATAAAAGAAAGGGTGTTAAAGTCTTTCTGTCTGTTTCGCTTGTTCATACCCAATTTTATAAGAACACAAAAATAGATCCCTGCATTTCAGAAAGAACTAGCTATTCAGCATCTCCATACTTCTGGTTCTCTGGGTTTCTATTATGAGGTTACAGCTAATGACCAGAGACCAGATTTCAGAATATACTCACCTGGAATTCCACCAAAATATAACTGAGGGGCCAGATACCAGACTATAATGAGTAACTGCTTCTGCATTCAGTTCTACAAGTGAGATGACAGATTGATTATCAAGACATCTGAAGAACATCTTTTTTTTTTTTTTTTAAATCAGGGACACAATTGGATCTTGAGAGAAGTTTCTCTGAAAGCCACTATCATGCAATATCATATGTGATGAACATCAATATGTGTGTGTGGAGGGGGTGGGGGAAGTATCAGCCTCAGCTGGTGAGTTTCCAAACCTTACCTACGACAACAAAGTCATCAAAGTCACATTTACAGGCTTCTTTGAGCACATCACAGTAAGTGGGGGTCCCAGCCACTGGGCTGCCCTGTAACACAGCACAGCCTAGAAAAAGAAATGAAAGGAGTTTCACCGACAAGAAGAAAAAGAAAAACTGCACAACCTGTCATATCCAATTAACTAGAAACTGGGGAATAAAATGGGCCAAGAATTTAAAAATCCAGCTTTAAGAGTTAAACAATGCAGGGGTGCCTGGGTGGCTCAATTGGTTGAGCATCTGACTTCAGCTCAGGTCATGATCTCGCGGTCCATGAGTTTGAGGCCCGCGTCAGGCTCTGTGCTGTCAGCTCAGAGCCTGGAGCCTGCTTTGGATTCCTGTCTCTGCTCCTCCCTTGCCTGTGCCCACTCTTTCTCTCTTTCTTTCTCTCTCAAAAATGAATAAACGTTAAAAAAAAAAAGAATTAAAAACTGCAAGGAGCTATTTTTGTGTTGTTCTTGCATTCACTGTGACTCAGGAAAGCAGACTGATGAATATATATGATGAGGGAGTTCAGAAGAGTAAGCTGCCTACTTTTATGTGTGTTTGAAATTTTCCATAATGCTAAGTTTAAAAAAAACAAAAGAGGGCAAAAATCAGCTTCACAGTGGCACAAAAAGTATAAGTGACATAAATGTTGTGCTGGGTCAAAAAGTGTCCCTCCAAAATACATATCCATCCAGAACCTGTGAATGGGACCCTATTTGGAAGTAGGGTCTTTGCAGAGGTGATCAAGTTCAGTGGAGGTCCTACTGGATTAGGGTGAGCTCTAAATCCAATGTGACTCATGTTAACAAAATGAGGGAAATGGACACAGACATTGCTAAACTGGGAGAAGGCCAGTGAAGGAGGAGGCAGGGACTCGAGTGGTGTCTTCTACATAAGCCAAGGAACGTCAAGGACCACCAGCAACCACCAGAAGCCAGAAGAGGCAGGGAAGGGGTTCTCCCTCAGAGCCTCCAGGAGGAACCAAGCCTTTCAACAACTTCATTGCTGAATTTCTGGCCTCCAAAACCGTGAGATGACACATCTTCTGTTGTTTTAAGCTCCCCCTGCTTTTTGTGGTATTTTGTTACAGCAACTATAGGAAACTACTACAAATATGTCCATGCTTTTCTATACCGAATGGTAGTCTGAGGTATTATCCTAAAAGTGTCATTAAAAAGCAAAAAAATGGGGCACCTGGATGGCTCAGTTGGTTAAGTGTCCTACTTCGGCTTAGGTCATGATCTCAAAGTTCCTGAGTTGGAGCCCCACATCCAGCTCTGTGCTGACAGGTTGGAGCCTAGAGCCTGCTTCGGATTGTGTGTCCCCACCGCCCACCCCCCACCCCCGCCCTCCCCTGCTCAAGCTCTAGCTCTCTTTCTCTCTCCCGAAAATAAACAAACATTAAACACTTTTTTTAAAGTGGAAAATGCAGACTTTGATCCTAAAGGAGCTATCTGCAGTCCATTTAAAATATTAAAATATTGAAAGTTATCTAAATGCCAAATAACAGTGCACTGATTTTGCAAATGATGTTATTAACTCAAGAAATACCATCATAGAAAAATGTGAAACCTGTAGCAACATGGAAAGCTGTATATGAAATACATTAATATAGTCATATTATTAATAGAACTATATTAATAGGAGTACATAACACCACAAAACTGTATTCACTTGAATAAATGTAAGAGAAAAACACAGAGAAATGTTTGGGTTTCTATTGAAGTTCCCTAAACAGTTGTTTAGGGAAATATTCTAGACCACAGCTTTATGCAGGGGTTATGTGAGTGGGCTTTGCAGTGAACTGGCCAGGGTTTAAAACCGCACAGCCCCGTCCTAGCTATGTGACTGTGGACAATCAACTTCTCGGCTTTAGTTTCCTTCTGGGTAAAATAGGGGCAACTTCCCCCAACTCTCTGTGTTTCCCTGCACTCTTTTGACTGATCATGATCCACAGTAACATACATTCACACTGCAACTTAGTACAAACACAAAAATATATATCACTGATTAAAAAACAAGGTTAAAATTTCCAGGAAGCATTGCTCAGTCTAGGTAAGGTGAACACAGATACTTTCTATTCTTTTGTTTGTCTAAAGTTTTTTATTATGCTTATTTATTTTGAGAGAGAGAGAAAGAGAGACAGAGAGACAAAGTGCAAGTGGAAGAGGGGCAGAGAGAGAGGGAGGCAGAATCCAAAGCAGACTCCAGGCTCTGAGCTATCAGCGCAGAGCCCAACACGGGGCTCGAACTCACATGTGTGAGATCATGACCTGAGCCAAAGTCGGATGCGCAACTGAATGAGCCACCCAGGTGCCCCTCTTTTGTTTGTTTTTAAATGCTCTCAAGACTAACCTGTAAGAATGCTAAGCCACCTCTACCACTGGCATCTCTCAATGTAAATGTCACAGAAGAGATACTTAATAAAAGATGCCTATTTTTATTAGGGGTGGTAGAAATGTTTTAAAATTTCATTTAACATATTTATATTCACATTAAAAAAGTTGAGCTAGACATGAGCTTCCACGTGACCATTCAACAAATATTTATAAAATACCTATTTTGAGGAAGACACTATGCTGAAGGCAAATTCCAATAAGACAAATGCTTATCCAACAAGGAGTTTAAAACCTCACAAGGAGCTGAGACACTGTTACACACAACTGTAGGAAAACACAGTTGTGTGCCATGGGCTTTAAGAAGGCAGGGCCCCACACCACACACCTCCAGGAGGGACTGAGGCATGCACATGGGCAATTATAGAACATTCTGGAACACAACTTAGGCTGGATTCCACATGAATGGTGGTCCTGCTCCAGGATGCAAATCTGGGAGCACGTCACAGTGCTGGTGGCAGGAGACTGCTTTCAAAGGATGGGAGAGATGAAATAACTAATGTGAAGTTCCTGGGCAACGAGTATTCCAGAAGAGCCTAGACCAAGCAAAGGAAGGCAGGAGCTTGGGAGACATGTCCACTGTCGAGTCTGACTGGCCAGGATTACTGAAGCCCATTACTGAAATGCCAGGATATGCCTATTGGAAAGGCACGGAGGAGCTACATCCCATGAGGCTAAAAATCCGAGGATAAAATGTGGCACGAAGTCAGCAGCCCATTTTAGAGGAATAGAAGTTGGCCTAGGAAGCCAGACGTGTGTAGTAGTCGATGAGGGGAAATAAGTTGCGAGTAAAGAGAAAATTAAAGGCAGCAAATGTGCCATGAGTACCTAACTGCACTTTCTATTGAATGACTGAGATGCTCCAGGTCAAAGGCAGGAATGGGGAACTATTCGAGGGGATGTGTCATGATTACCAAGAAGTTGGGTCTCATCAGTTCACTAGAAACAGGGCAGAGACACAGGCACAAAGAAGAAGAAAGAGCCAAAGATAAAGCACAAGAGCTACTGAAATAGGAATCATTTCTTTTCTCTCCATGAGCGGCCTCAGAGGGGATGATGATCCAAATCACACTCCCTTGCTCCCCTGGCCACGGCTGGCCCACCAGCTGGGGACGCCCACTCAGAGCCCGCCCCCTCACATGCTCTTCCTTGGGAATGGGGACCTGGGGTCCTGCAAGACTGGGTTGCACTGTGAAGCCCCCACCTGGCAGTCGGGAAGACCACAGAGCTACAGAGCCAAAACCAGATGCAGCACTGCGGGGAGAAGTCAGGCTGCAGGAAAGGAGAACTAAGTAATTGCACAACGCGGTAAGAGGCCATACAGCCCCACAAAAGACAGATCCTCCACGCTGGTCATTCTGTGTTTCCCATCACTGGGTTCAGTGAGGATGCTCTGTATCCTTGAAAAACTTTCCCTTTCCATTTGTGCTGGGCAGTGCATTCAACAGCTGTTCATTGTGCATGGATTTTGTGCCAGTCACTGTGCCACACAGTAGTGCCTGGAGGGAGTGCTCCCTCCTTACTGTAAGGCTCATGCTTAAGATGCTAAAGTTAAGAAAATCAAAAGGCATTTTTTTTTTTTTGGAAGGAAGGGGGTTGTGAGGGAGGAATAGATAGATAACTAGTTTAGACATGATAAGTGAGTTTAGTTACCTGCCAACCAGCTAAACAGGACCCAGCAGTATGGAACAAACACTGGTCAGAGAGGGATGGGACGGAAACACAGGTCTGGGAGATATCAAGGGACAATCATGGAAAGATCCTGCAGTAGGCAAGGTCTCCCACTACGTGAACAGAGAGAACGAATCTAGGACTGAAGCAGGACTCTCATTCAGGAAGTGGTAGGAAAATGATGCGTCCTAACTTCAGTTCCCAGCTGAGGTACCCTCCTCTCCAGAAAGGACTCCCTGGTGCCCACACCAATCCTGCTTCTCTTGCTCTGGGGCCTGCTGCACTGGGCCCCTGCTTCCAGTACCCAGGTGACCCCCACACAGTGTCCTGTGTTTAGCCAGCTCCCGCAGGGGTGTTCCTTGAGGGAAGGGATGTATCTTGTTGCTTGTCGATTCCTGGCACCCAGGACTTCAGACTCCTGGTTTGTGGAATGAAGGAAAGAGGTCTATTTGGAAAAAAAAACCAAACCAATGTGTGAGAAGAGCTAGGGGAATGCCACGAGGCAGAAAACACAGAGGGAAGCCAGCAGCCACTGCCAAACACAAAGGAGGATGGAGTCCCAGAATAAACAACACATCGATGTAACGACAGAGGGGAGCATGAAAATAGATGCCGAGTCCAAATGGCAGAAATGGCGAGGATCACGGTTATCCAGGAAGGTTTAGACAAAGGATGTGAAGATATATTTCGCGATGCGATGGAAAAGAGATTAAGTCGCGAACGCAGCAAAGTTGTTCTGATTTGCCCCACTAGCCTTCATAGCCACTGTCAGAGGAACTGGAAGATCCAGATTCTTGCTTAACGCTCGTATAAGAGGCCGCTTCAGGGTCCGCCTGATCATTCACGAGTGGCGCACTGGCTCCTTCTGCACTGCAGTTCTGTGTGTGCTGTTGACTGAGGACGGTATACTTTATTTCCTCCATTACGGCGATCATCATGTCCGCTACATAAAAGTGGGCATTTTCCTGCAGAAAAATAATTATCAGTTAAATTGCAAAGCATCAACTGTTTTTCACTGAGGGCGTATTAACTTGAAAATCAAGAACCTGTATGTAAGCAGAGTTAAGGTATAGGAATATAAATGTTCATTTAAGGGACACCTGGGTGGCTCAATCGGTTAGGTGTCCAACTTTGGCTCAGGTCATGATCTTACAGTCCTTCAGTTAGAGTCCCACATGGGGCTCTGTGCTGACAGCTCAGAGCCTGGAGCCTGCTTCTGATTCTGTGTCTCCTTCTCTCTCTGGCCCTCCCTTGCTCATGCTCTGTCTCTCTCTCTCTCTCAAAAATGAACACAACACACATTAAAAACATTTTAATGTTCATGAAACTGAGTAATCACATGAGGTATAGCCCATATCTCCCAGGCACATCAAATTTAGCCCACTGTGACCCATAGATAACCCAAGTTGAATTTACTGTGATATAAACCCCTAGGATGGTGGTGGCCCAATGGTAGACATCATGCATCAATCAGGGGGAACTTCCCAGCTGAGCGCAGAGGCGGCCTCAGAACCCAAACCCTCCTTAGCTCCTGGCGGCCTCTGCTAGCCAAAGGTTGAAATGAAACCTATTCACCATGTTTCATCAAGTGAAGTTTCCAGATTTAAGTCAGAACAACACTATCTTAAGGATTTACACTCTCTGTGGTTTTTTTTTTTAAAGAAAAAAATGTGTTCACCTTTTCTACATTGACAGGAAGCAAGAACGCTTCTGGGGAGAAGGAATTCAAAGAAGCGGCTCTTCGACCAACCGGAACAGCACCTGCCAATGCAGCAAGGTATTAAAAACGGAGAAAAAGACGTTCAAAGACAACAAAGCAATTCTAGACAGTGGCCTTTAAAACCCGTTTTTTTTTAAATTTTTCAAAAATTCTTTTAAAACTTTATTCTTAAGAGAGAGGCAGAGAAAGACAAAGCGTGAGCAGGGGAGGGGCAGAGTGAGAGAGGGACACAGAATCAGAAGCAGGTTCTAGGCTCTGAGCTGTCAGCACAGAGCCTGACATGGGGCTCGACTCACAGGCCGTGAGATCATGTCCTGAGCTGAAGTTGGATGCTTAACCAACTAAGCCACCCAGGCGCCCCTAAAATCTGTTTTTAAAAAATTAACAGAATTCTAGAATAAATTACGGTGCCAGAAGAAGACAGAGCCTTCTGGGGGTAGGCTTTGCAGGTATTGCCTTTACAGTGATTGTTCCTACAAGGGCCTTTTGGAGCAACTTGGCAGGGGTCCTCAGAGGAGGGATGGGAGAACCACTGGAATGGAGGAGACCAATGAAAGAAAGAGGAGGGGGTCATGGAAACTACCTAAAAGAGGTGGAGAAGGGAGAGAAGGGACAGTCTAGAAGCAGAGTCCTAAGACTCACGGGATCTCTTCTCCCATGCACTGCAACTGGCCCAAAGCTTCTTGTTTACAGAGACAAAATCTATCTGACAAAGGCCAGCACTGCTTCTCTAAAACGGCCTTCCTCCAGGCCAATAACAAGAAGAAACCACAGAGGGTATACCCTGCTGACTCATCCATTCTGCACCCTGAAGCCACTCCATTACTGGCAGCGAACACCATCGAATGAAATGATTCCTGTCATGTGGTTCCTTCTTGCAGCATTTCAGGCAAAGCCCTTCTGTGAGAGCCCCAAGTGTTCAGTTGTCCCAACCCGCTAAATGAGGACAAAATGCCACGGGTGTCTCGATGACCAGACAGTTCCCAAGGGGACAGACAGAGATGCAAGCCATCACCCAACCCCTTCAAGAGAGTGACTGTTCCATGAGGGACATCGACTCTCTTAGTGTCAGGATCCAACTGGGGTGGGTAAGCATTTTCTGCAAAGGACTAGGGAGTAATATGGCAGGATCTGAGGGCCACCTAGTGCAACTATGCCGTTCTGCCACCGGAGTGAGGAAGCAGCCATCAGCAACCCCAACAAAACTTTGTAAAATCCAGAGGCCTGGATTTGGCCTGCAGGTCACAGTGTTTGGACCCTGAGTATAGAAGCAGAAGTACAGAGGAGAGTCAAACAGCATGGATTCCAGTCCCAGCTCTCTCTCTACTGCTTGTTGTGCCACTGCCTTGAAATGTCCTCCTGCCTTAAACTGGATAATAATTCTCTTAGGAGATCAGAGGAGATAAGGCATGTGAATGTGCTCCGTAAATACCTAAATCCTATGCCAGGAGAAAGGGAACCGTGGGACTGTTTCTTCCAGCCTCAGGAAGTGCTTACAGGCTGGGGTGGGGGAGGGTCTTTCTCTACCACGTTATCTAGAAAACGAAAAGTGTGCCGCTGTACTTCATGATGCAGCAGTCATAGGAAAAATCCTGTGTCTTAGCAGCAAATGCCTGTTCTCGCAATGCCGTCCCACAGCCAAGAAAGACCAGATGACTCAGGACTTCCTTTGTTTGTAATCCCATGGGATGCATCCCCCTACCAAGTTGAAGATGGTTCTTAAAGGTAGTTAGAGAAATTGTTGTCTTTGGACAAAAGGGGCTGGGGTACCTGTTTTCTTTCTGGGAGAAAGACAAACTACAGCAGAATTTTAAATTGCAAAACCACTTCCGGTAGAACCTGTCATTTTGCCCAAATCTGGTCTTTCTTTCAAAATTACCCATTTTAAGATGGTCCAAAATCTGCTATTCTTAAGCGATGAGTATACGTTAAAAGACCATCATCATCTTCGACTTTTCAAAAGTGTTTCCAATACAACCAACAGAAACCCATGCTTTAGGAAAAGTGGAGGGCTGGCTCTTGCTAGTGAGAAGTAAATAAATGCCTATGTATATACATGCAAAATAAATGCCTACGTACGTACATACACACATACAGGCAGGCCAGCAGTGTTCAAATTGTTAGGAAAGAAGAAACTTCATTGAGTATTTGAACTAGGGTTCTAACAAAAATATAAATGAATACAAATATAACTACGACGATTATATTTTTAAAAAATTAGAATGCCATTGGGGCGTCTGGGTGGCTCAGTCAGTTAAGCATCTGACTTTGACTCTGGTCATCATCTCAAGGTCACGAGTTTGAGCCCCGAGTTAGGCTCTGTACTGACAGCTCAGAGCCTAGAGCCTGCTTTGGATTCTGTGTCTCCCTTTCTCTCTGCCCGTCCCCCACTCACGTTCTGTCTCTCTCTCTCTCTCAAAAATAAATAAACATTAAAAAAAATAGAATGCCACAAATTATAACAGCAATAAGAGAATGTATTGGCTCTCGAGTGGCATTTACATACATTTCTCTTATTTGGGGAATATGTGCATTACTTCATAGCAATGGGAGCCCTTGTTTTAATGGGAAAAAAAGGTTTTGTATAGTCTCTGGGGAAATTGCGATCACTGTTTTTAAATCCGATTAGTTTCTAGTCACACCCTGTCCAGGTAAATGGTGGTGAGGTGAGTTCATCTCCTAGGAAAGTACTAGTGTGAATTGGAGCCCAATCTGTCTGGCAACACACTCTACCACCACACTGGATTGAGAGCACTTGTAATACTCCTGCTTGCAGACAACTTCTTCAGCTGGAAACTCCGGAAGGCACACTCCACTCAAAGACAGCAGCCGGCATGGACGGCCCCCTAAGCGGAGCAAAGATGACATTTCCTTGCTATGGAAGGAAAACGGAAATTCTTGACTTTACCCCTTGTGACCATCCAGGCACCCAGGTAGCTGGGCTGGAGAAGATGAAATGCGCTAATGTACTGGCGTCCGATCAGAGGGGAAAGCCAGGACTTCTTTCCTCATAAGGAAGACAGTAAGACAGGCTTTTGACCAAGGCAAAGCTGCATGTGAACAGACAAGAATGAGGCAAGTCTCGACTGAAGTTACCTTCATCAGCAGAAGCTGTCGGCAAGGAAGGCTTCCAAAAAGCACTGTCAGCCTCTGAACATGAGGAAGCAGCTGAAATCCTGGAGCCTGTGAACACAGACACCTGAAGAGAGTGTCCTGGGAGCCTTGCCTGCTCCTCCTTTGAGGTAGAAGAGAAGTCGCTGCTCTTGTCACCGGAGCCCCAGGCAGGGTCTGTACTGTCCTTGGACAGTGATGTCTCCACCATGGACTCCCCAGGGGATGATGGTGAAGGACCCAGGGGAGGGATGGTGTCCCTTCCAAAGTGGCTCCCACTGTTCTCCCCTGTCGGCACCTGAGGCGGCAAATCCTGTAGCTCTTGCTGCGCACACTGGGGGTTAATCCAGGCAGCTCGATGCCTCATGAACATGACGTCTGATTTGTGAGGAGGCTGGTCAGTGTCCAGGAGACTGGGCGAACCATCAATGTCGCTGACCCCTTCCCAAGGGTGCACGGGAGAATCCTGCCGGCCCATAGACTGTGACACCATCTTTCCAGGCTCAGAGTGGTGTGAACTCCGTTGTACTACGGGCTTAGGGCCTTGAACTCACCACGAGGCTGGCTCAGGTCCAGAGAGCTTTTCTGCAATGAGCAAAAACCATTCCAGGTAAATAAGAATTCAGTCGTATTTGTAACTCCAAAATCTTTTGAGGAGGAGGAACGAAAAATAAATAAGTTTGTACTTCACTCTGTACAATACAGTAAAATGCACCTGGATTGACAAGAAATAAGCAAACAAATCAGCGATAAAACTGGCAACAAAGCACACGAGACGTGACATCAGGATAGGAAAGGGTTTTCAAGGCATAAAGATAAACGAAGATTGCTTTTATACATGGATACGGTCAGATAAGCACACTGCGGATAAAACAGACAAAAGTGAAAGACAGCCACGCATTCTTCCAATGAGATTAAATGTCCAACCCTAAATGGGAATACCATTTGGAAGTAAAGACACATTTTCACAGTTCCTTATTTTTATTTAATCTGTGTTTGTATTTCTGCAAGGTAGACAAGTGGCATGTGAAACTGAGGACAACTAATAGCACTAAAAACTTTGCTTTATGTGACTTAGTTTATAATAAAAGAGAAGCACTCTGGTCCCTGTAACCACTGGCCCAGCACGTGACTTTCTATTCTTCCAGGGTCCTTCACACTGTGAGGCTCAACACAACCTTGGTCAGCACAAGCAAGGTCAGCAAGAACAAGGCCTGGAGATGGAAGTGGTCGGCTTCTGCGAGCTCAGCTTAAAGGGAGAGTGGAGAACAGGGCTACAGGGCTTTATTTATTTATGTCTTTTTTTTGAGAGACAGGGCATTAAGTGAGAGCAAGCCTGAGAGAGAGGGAGAGAAAGAGAGAATCCTACTAGGGGCAGAGAGAGAAAGAAAGAGAGAGAGAGGAGAGAGAGCTAGAGCAGGGCTCATGCTTACCAGATGCAGGACTTGAACTCACAAACCGTGAGATCATGACCTGAGCTGAAGTCAGATGCTTAACTGACTGAGCCACCCTGGTGGCCCCAGTTCCAGGGCTTTAAATAACATCATTATGTATCCAGATAGCTCCCACCTGGATCCCTATGCCTGACCCCTCCCTTACCCCCCGGAACTATGGGCCAGCAAATTTTACTGCCTCTCTGATAGTCATCCAGGGGGACTCACAACCTGACACATCCAAAAAAGACCTTAATTTCACCCAGATCTGCTCCTCCCTAGTTTTCCCATCTCGGGAACCACACCTCCCAGTTGCTAAAGCCTGAAATTGGGACATTCTCTCTGATCCTATCTTTCCTCAGTTCTCCATCTTTAATCCGTTAGCAAGTTCATATCTATAGCTACTGCTCTAATCTAAGTCACCATCTTCTCCCACCTGGGCCTCGTCCCATCTTTTCAGTGGGTCTCCCTGCTTCAACTCTGCTAACTGATAGTCAAGAGGTATGCAAAGAGATCTTTTATAAGTGTAAATCACGGGACACTGGGGTGGCTCGGTCAGTTGCTTCAGCTCAGGTTATGATCTCACAGTTTGTGAGTTCAAGCCCCCCATGGGGCTCGCTGCTGTCAGCCTGTCAGAGAGCAGAGGTCGCTTCAGACCCACTATCTCCCTCTCTCTGCCCCTCCCCTGCTTGTGATTGCCCAAAAATAAAATAAATATTAAAGAAAATAAGTATAAATCAGATGTCATTCCCCTAGTCACCATCCACCCCCCAACAACTTCTCATCAAATCTGGAATAAAATCCAAAATCCTTACCTTGTCTTTAAGGCATGACCCGATCCTGTCCCGCAGACCTCTCTCACTTATCTCTGTCCAACCTCCATAAGTCCCAAGCACGCACCAAACTCAGTCCTACAAGCTCTTGCCCACCCGAATGCTGCTGTTCTAGCCCTTCTGCCTGGAAGGCTCTTTCTTCCCCCAACTGACCATACATCTGGCTCCTTCCTGTCTTGTTTGCATGCTTTGGTTTATCAATTACTTCCTCAAAGAAGTCTTTCTTAACTACCTCTCTTAAAGTAGTTCCCTAGTTACTCCCTATCACATCACCTTGCTTCATTTTCATCCTAGTAGCCTCACTTCCTGATTTTTTTTCCTGCTCCTTCCTGTCACTCCCTCCACCCCCTAATCTGCCCCCTCCCATCCCCCCCGCCTATAGGCTCCATGAGAACAGGGGTCTTGTCTGTTCTCTGCCAGGTCAGACGTAGGGTCACATATGGGACTTCAATAAACTTACAGACTGAAAGAAAAAATCCAATGGTGGAAATGACATCATGAGCTAGAGAGACAACTTCCGAGGTTGATACATCTGCTCTGTTACTGTGACAGAATTATTCATACAAGGATAGAAGTGAGTTCATGTTTCCCAAAGGTATGACATTCTTCTTAACGCTTACAAATAGGCCAAAAGAAGGTATGTGTGAAAACTGTACTAAATTCCTTGGGTTTTCTTGATTTGGGGACCTTCCATTCTAGGTCAAACCTATTGAAGTGGCATACACACACACAAACATATATGTATGTATATACACATATATGTGTGTGTTGTGCAGTATTATGTGTATATCACATGTACATATACATACATATATACACATATACATATACATACACACACACACGATATACACATAATACTGCACAATACTGCATAAGCTTCAAATCACTGCTCACAAAATATCACGGGATGTGGTGGCAATCTGAAGCGCATCGTCTTCCTTCTCCAGACCTGAAATCTTACCTGGTACCCCAATTTCTCTTTGTTGCACATCTTTTCCTCTCCAATAATTCTGGGCATCAAAATTACAAGTGGGAATCATGACTGTGTATTTATGAAATGGCAAAAACACAGAAGCCTAGAGTGAGTGAAGCACTCACACTTGGGTGACAAATCCGCCAATCCTACCTCAGCCCCGGAAATGACGTTGATAACTACTTTATCCCTTCCAGACCTTTCCCGATGAATTAACATACACACGTCAGATCAGAAGATGCATTTTGTTTTCTCTTTTGTACACATGAGCTCACACTGGACAAAATCTAAGATGAAACTTCTTTTTCTCTAAACAAGCTCTTGAGGGTGTATATCACTCTTAACGATCTTAACCACTTTCTATAATATAAAAGGATCATAATTTACTTAGACTACTGATGGAAATTTATTTTTAGTTTTTCACAATTATAAAATATAAAGCAATGAATAACTTTGTTCATATTGCTTTTTGTTAAACTTCTTTAACTAAATTTTCCCAATTTTCACTGAGTCCATAGCTCATGATAACATCATGGTTTCCAAGAGAATGAAGCTACATGAGTCATATTCTGTGCTCAATTCTCTACATGTCATAGATGTTCTTGTGTGGGGAAGAGGAACGAAGATGTGACATCACATAAAAAAATGCATAGCATCGAACCAATGACAAGTGGCAGGGATCCCCGTGTTTTTTTACAAACCAATTAAAGACAATAGTTCAAAAAGAATGATGTTATTTATGAGCCGCCCAGCTATGGAACTGACTTAACGGCACTGAGCAAAAACAGACTTCCTTTTAAAAAGTAATTTTCAGAAGTGGTGCTTGCTCCACTTCCTTCTAGAAAGGTGTTCTTGTTTCGTACAAATAACTAGCAGGTGTTGGCTTTTCCAGGTGATAAAACGAGAACCTTTCAGACCTGGGATAGGCCCATAGAGATTAAAAGCCATGTCTAAGGACAGGCTGAGTAGTGGCAAGGAGAGGATGACAAACCAGGTTGGACAGTCATTAAGAAGTATGAACCTCTCCGAAAGGGAGACCGACACAGGACAGAGCTATGGTGAGAAACAAAGTGTTGGTGCTAGTCCAGGAGGTCCACCTCTCCACTGCTTGACCTTTGGGGCAACAGATAATTTACGAGATACCATCGTATGGTATTTTGGCTCATTGTCACCTTGCTTGTCGTTTGGTAATCATTCAATTAAACAAATATTTATTGAGCAACTATTACACGGCCGGCATTGTTTCTGTTTCAGAAGCACTGGAGTAAAATAAGTCGGTGCTTCTTCCAGTAGCTTATGTTCTGGCAGAGAAGAGACGGTGATTGAACATATCCGTTCATATGTTTCAGCGCCGACGGCCGGCAGGTAGAATGGGTGTAAGCGTGGTTGGTATCTTCCCAAAATGCATCCCGCTGTCATAAGTAGGGTGCTCGGAATCAGAGAGGCTTAAGTACAAAGATAAAAGCAATTTCCGAAAACATTTTAAAGGAAGGTAAGTCAAAGTGCAAAGCTTACTGTCATGTCTACTGCGAGTTTCCTACTGAGGGTGAGCACAGGCCAGATTACTACTAGTTCCCATAAATGCAGTAGCAAAGGTCCTAGACAAGAGAGAGACTCCTGCACTCCCCCTAACAAGTCATTCTGGATGGGTCTCTGCCCATGAAAGTCAGTAGTTCCATCATGAATGACTGCATAGTGAGGGCAACCTCAGAGCCACGATACTGACTGCAAAGATGCAACTTTTGCAAAAGGGGTGGACGGCTCATTTGGGCATGAGCCACCATGACCTCTACAGGGCCCTCATAAACATCTTTCAGACCATAAGCAGCCAGAACTTTGATGCAGATGAGCAGTTTTAGCTCCCAACACCCCTAACAATCTTAGAGTGACTCCATGAAGAGACACAAGCATGTCAGATTTTGGATTTAAGATCTTCTCAGCCCCAGCACCAACTACCAACTGAATACATGATTAGGAGCACTGAGATTCGTCTTAAACGTTACCTTCTCAGTGAAGGCCTCCATGGCCACCCTATGTCATGGCAACTGCCCCAGCCAGCAATTCCTCTCCCCCCTTCCTTACTCCTTAGCACCAATCTCCACTGTATTTAACTCAAACACTAAAATCCACTAGAATGGAAAATCTCTGAGGGTGACATTTTTTTTTTTAATTGTACTTTGGACATTGCTTTGTTTCCAGAACCTAGAACAGAGGCACATAATAGGTGCTCAACAAAAATTTTCATTCAGTACCTACGAATCGTTCTGTTGTGGTTATTTCTGTTGTCTAAGGAAGAACATCAAGAACAGATGTCAACCTTTAGAAGATACTGGAGATCACGACCTAAAGTTTCTGTTCAACTGTGTTCTTAGAATAAAGGAAGTTAGAGAATAGAAAACACAAACAAGAGTTGGGGTAAAAGGTAAAATTCATTTATGCCAATTTTAAGGTGCCTTAAGCATGCTCAGTAAGAATGAACTGCAGTGAGCAAACAGCAGGGACGCTGTCTCGTTCACACAGCTCCCCAGTCCTCTTCCCATCTATTTCCCTTCATGCTTTGCCTTTAAACAAGCTCCAACCCCCAAAGATGTTGAGAGACTCAAACCATTACTTATCAAACAGAAAGCATTAAGATGCCCGACAAAGCGATTCCACAGCTTCCACAATGTGGTCAGTAATCAGGGTAAACCACCATCTCCACACAGCTGCATCTTCCCCACAGCACATGCTGAACTCTGTGTTCTAACACAAAAAGAACCAGGAAGGAAACAGTGCTATATTGCAATGGCATAGAGCAATGATGCTGGCATGGCATCACATGCACTCCTCCCAGACCAACTTACCTTTGGCAATGACCCTTAACTTTGAAGGTCCGCTGTAAGAAGAACACAGAAGAAGGACAGAAAGCAATTATGACAGATGGGCGGGGTAAGGTTAGCCGGGGAAGACCCAAAAAAGACACAGATCAAGGAACGGCAACTATTTGCCTAAGAAAACTGCAAGGTTGCCCAAGATACACAAATGACTAACTTCCTGTGGTCACTGCGTATGTCACATGTTCCATTTGCGTGAAATATTTCAGGTATTATTATGGCAATTTGGGAATGGAAATAAAGAACATTAGGGGACTTGACTGAGGCCTCACCATTAGTAATTACCAGTAGAACAAAAAACAAAACTCTGACACCTGATCCAAAGCTCCTTCCAATGTGTATATCATTGGGGCTGAAGTTGGGATATTTTCAATTTCATTAGCAAAGTAAATTTAAGAACTTTCCTGTTAAATCTGTTACAAAACAAAGGATTAAGAACCACACCACTATATTGGATTCCATGTCTTTAGAACAATTGTGCCCAGAATGTTACAATTAACACCGATTTGTGTAAAAAACAAAAAAGTCTCATACATACATCTATAATGTGGGACTATCTTTTTATTTATAAATCTTATATAGGCACGGCTATTCTAATATATTATGTAATTTAAAAATTCATGAAAACAGCATTTTGTTTCCTGCTTTCCAATAAATCATCTTGTAACCTAAAGGTACCTACCACCACTGAGGTAATGCTTTCCTTAAAACCTTTTATATAAAAAACAATAACAAATAAAAAATGACTTATACATCAACACTAGGTAACTGAATAAGACTTAAAAAATATTATTAATTCAAAAATTTACCCAAAGTAAGGGAAGGTACCTGCACTTGAACAATGATGGGGTTTCCATGCTTGGGCAAAATAAAATGAGGAGCCGTACTGGAAAACAGTGTGACAGTTCCTCAAATGGTTAAATATACAGTTACCATTTGACCTAGCAATTCCACTCCTGAGTACATACCAAAGAGAATGAAAGCATATGTTCACACAAGAACTTGTGCACACATGTTAATGGCAGAATTATTCACAGTAGCCAAAAAGTGAAAACAATGCAAATGTCCATCAACTGATGAATGGGTAAACCAAGTGTGGGACAGCCATATAGCTATCAATAGCGGCATTATTGAACCACAATGGGGTGGAGGTGGGCAAGATGGCGGAGAAGTAGGGAGCTCTGTGCATTTCGCCTGCACCCATCTCTCAAACAGAGAAGGCCTGAAGACGTAGGACACTGAGCCACAGGAGTCTGGGAAGAGAAAGAGACAGAGTACACTGGGAAGGAAACCTCCCCAGTGCGAACTGGGGAAGGTAAAAGCGGGACGGGGCCCAGAGATACGGAGAGAGGGGAGGGAACCCGGCTTGCGTGCAGCTGCGGTGAGTGATAAACCAGTGAGTGGTGGTGA